CTCTCTCGCAGGTTTCTCCTGTTCCTCCTGAGGGCACTCCCTTCATAACCCTCGCCTAAGGAACCCCAGCTCTGGCTCTCCTTTTGAGGAAGCTGCCAACTCACCACCTTAGAATGTACTGTACATTTATTTAGTTCCGGTTTTGGGTGATAACTTATCTTGCTTGAGGGCAGAGAGATGCCTTTTACTTATTTATATTTGCTCTAATAGGAAGCATAGAGCTTTGCAAATGACAGGGCTTGTTAACTTCTAAGAATAAAGTAATTTGAACTGGTTTTTTAATAGGCAGCTACCACACACTGTACTTTGGAAGCCTGGTTAGAGGGGATTAATTCTAATTTACCAGGTTTTCATCGCCCTTTTGTTCCTCCCTGGAATTGCAGGGTTGAAGCTCCCATCAAATATTGTCAGGGAGGCCCCCTGAGACCCGGCGCTGCGTTTTCCCTGGCAGGGTCTGCAGCAGAGCATGGAAACTGCCAGCATTGCTCTGCACCTGCACTTTGAGAGTGACTCTGGGAGAGCTCCCCCGGCCACAGGATCCAGCCCCACCGGGTGAGTCCCCTTCCTGAGGGGCCCCAGGGGATCTCCGCTGTGATTATTTAGCATGTGAAGGTTCTCATGAAGTGAGTAACTCTTCCAAATGCTTCTCAGAGGCCTCTTACCTGTGGAAGTTACAGTCTTCCCCCTTCCTCGTAAACAGCAGGTGCTTGATGATGGATCCTTGGACAGCCATCTGAATGCTTCGGGCCCCTCCCTGCGAAGGGGGAGATGAATGGTGAGGCTGGGAGCAGGGCTTCAGGATTGCAATGGCAGAGCTCAGGGCTGGTGTTCCAAGGGAGAGCTCTTGCTAGTGGATGGCCTGCTCTGTTCCTCTCTGCAGCCCTTTCCCTCCTGGTGTCCAGCATCCCCTAGGCTGTGCAGAGGACACTGTACTACAAGGTGCCAGCCTCCCCAGGGGCTCCCCCGGCCGGACTGGAATCTGTGCAGTGATGGGCTTCTTTGTGGAGCCCCGTGGACCGGCGCCTGGGGATATGTGCCCTCCTGCACCCTGCCTCCACTGTGCCCGCTTCACACCAACTTGCACATTTGTAGGAGGGAAGGAAAAGGGGGGCTAGTTCTTGAAATTCTGTGTGGCCGGTGATCAATGACATGAATTATTGAGGTTTTAAACAAACCAGAGAGAAGGTGCTAGATCTCCTGCCTCTAAACCCTCAGGGGTGTGCAGGACTTGGGGAAGGAGCCAGGAAGGCTGGAAGTTGGAAGGTGGGAGGGTGGAGGAAAGAGTCTGAGCCTTTGTTACAACCCAGATAGGATGTTGTAATTTTAAACAGTCTGCTATCATGTAAGTTTACATTTTAAGTTATCAAGATGTTTCTACAAGTGATTATAATGAAAACTTGCATCACAGGGATGGGAATGAAAGGAAACATAGCTAAGGAGTATGGAACTGGGATTTTAAAAAAGTGTCACCTGCTATTACCTTTCCTGCTTCCAGAGCAAAAGCCAGGTCAGAAAAAGGATTGTGGAACCGGAAACAGGCCCTTTCCCAGTCGCTGCTGAAGCCGGGGACCGTATTTCCAAAGAGGCTCTGCCGCAGCTTCTGAGAGGAGGGGAAAGAAATGGCTCGTTCAAATGCAGATAATTCTTCTGAGACACCTGCCTCATCAGTCAATCTGGAGCAACGTGGTAGAATCGTGGAGGTGGCCTGTCCCCCTCCTGCATGCAGGGCTACGCACTACTCCATTTCTCTATTTGAATCATAGAGTCCTGTGCGAAAGATTCACATCAGGTTCACTGAGGACTTTTGTCCCAAGGGCTCAGTGTGTCAGCCGCAAGCCTTGTCATCCCTGCTTGATTCAGGTCCCTGGTGTCCCCTTTCCTTCTAGCCGTCTCTCCTCTACCCTGCAGTGCACACCAGGCTGCGGCTCTGTCCTTGTGCCTCTGTCCCTGTATTGGTGACTTGCCCCAGATACAAAGGAAGGGACAGGCCTCTGTTTCCAGCCAAGTACAATAGTGGTTTCAATGATATTAGCAAGCATTCTCTATGTTCTTGCCCAAGAATCTTTAAGGTTTTCCAATGTACTTGAGAGTACGTTGAGATTGGAAACCGTCTTTTAGGGCTTCCCAGAAAAATGGAAATAAGTCTTTGTAAATCAGACACAAGAGAAAAGGGATCCATTCATAATCAGGGATGTATTCATCATTTAGCATGTGCTAGGTCCTGCCTGGGCTATAGATACATAAGTCTAACACCCCACAACTATGCATGAGAGAGAGGCGTGAAGGTCCAAAATTAAGTGCACAGTACCATGAACGAACAAAGGAGGGAGAGCAACCTCTGACTGAAGTACTCAGGAAGGCTTCATGGAAGAAGTGGCATTTCAACTAGGCTGGCAAATGGCATCTAGCATTTATTGAGCATTTTTATGCACCAGGCCCTGGGCTAAGTGTTTTAAATTCACTATTTAATTTAATTCTTTGAGGTAGGTATGTTATTATTCGCCTTTTACAGAGAAGCGTTTGCTGAAGGTCATCCAGCTCGTGGAAGCAGAGCTGGGATTTGTGCCCTTTCTAACACCACCACTCCGCCTCCCAGCTTTAATCCTGTACATGCCATCCTATGACTGCAAGTCAAGGAGAGAGAGCAGGTGAGCACAGAATCTGCTCTTAGAAGACACAGACCCAGTATGTACCATGGGCAAAGAAGGCCACTAACCCAGGACATCCCCAGCAGAGGATTGAAAATGATGGAAAGTGGGTCCCCGACATCAAGGCTACATAGCACAGAAGAAAGACTGACCAGTGTAGAGAAGCCCCAGTTATGCTCCTACTGACCCCGTGAACTTGGACAGGTTGGCCAACCACTGTAAGACTTTATTTGCTAATCCCCAAATGGGGAGAACCCCTGCTTGGCCCACATCATGGCCACCCTTGGAAGAGGAGAGGTGTGGAAAAGAGACCACAAGTGCTGAGTAAACGGAGAGTGTCATTACCTTTGTGAAAACAGCCCGTCTGCGCTGGGACATCTTGTGCAGTAGGAAGAAAGTCCTACCACAGATGGGAAAGACCAGGTCTGGCAGGAATGAGGGAGGAGAGGGTGTGTGTGAATCTAGAGATTAAGACTGTTGAGACTAAAAAGGCTTAGAATGCAAATTCAATTAGAAACCGTCTGCAAGCCAAACCATCGCATCTCCTGTTTCTGTTGCCAGCTGCCACCTCCAGCTTAGGGAGTGTCACCGTCTAGATGCACCTTGGGGAGGCCTAGAACGGAGGGGCTGTAGGCGTCTCCAGCCAGACCCCACCGGTTAGAGACAACAGAGGTGCTTCATCTTACCATTTTCACATCTAATATAATTTACGAGATTAACGTGATACATGCTCAGGGACATACACACGTTGCTGTGCTGCCTGGTAACCAGACACAAATGGTAAACCGCCCTAATAAATGACCGTAATAACTGTTATTATTTAATACAATCAAGCAGTTTATGGTTTTTCTCTTTTCACTCTGTTCCTTTTCTAGGTTGCGTAATGAATGCCCCTTTCCTGGTTGCTGTGATGATGATAAGGATGATGATCGTTCGCACGCATGCGCGTGCACACACACACACGCACACACACGCACGCACACACATACACACACACACGCACACAAAGACAGAGGTCCTGGGTCATTCTTCCCAAAAGGTTCAGTTTCCTTACCCCAACTGCTCTGTTCCCTGTCCCTGGGCTTAGAGTTTCCCTGTGACAACCTGGCCCCGTCCAGTCCTCCCCTACCCAACCCCACCACCCAACAGGAATTAGAATAATTCTCTTTGAAGCTCTTCCCTAAATCTTTTCTTGCCTTAAAAATTACTGTCCGATCACGGAGCCGGAGATTGTTAGAAGTAGTGCGTCTTAGCCCATCAAACAGAGCGCTGGGCCCCTGGTCGGATTGAACTGTTTACCATGATTTGTCAGCTTCTGGAGTAGTGCTTGGTACAGAGTAGCTCACAATAAGCAATTGTTGAATAATTTTTTAAAAATCTAATTCAACCCTTTTATGTTACAGTTAAAGGTTAGAGCAGTTAAGTGGGAGGCCCAAGGTCACACGGTTAGTAAAGGGCAGTGCCAAGACCCAGATGCAAGCCTTTCAACGTGTACCAGTCAGAGTCCCAGCAGGAAACGGTGGCTCTCTCAAGTCAGGATAATTAACTTGAAAGTTTAATACAGGAACTATTTACAAAGATGTGGGCTGCCTTGGGGAAACCACAATGGCTATTGCAGGGGGAAGAAGGGGTCACCTGAATCAGGAAGGAAAGTCCTCGGCTGCGTTGGAGGAGGGAGATCAGCCAGCTGGGCACAACCTGACTTCATCCCCTTCCTTCCTTCCAGCCTCCCTCCATGGTTCCCATTGGACAAACTGGACAGGAAGCCAGAGGAAGAGGGAGCACTGTTGATGGAGTCCCTACAGTCAGCCTCCTGGGCAGAAACCAGGATGGAGAAGGTTAGAGAGTGCATCTAAAGTGGCACACGAATGACACCCACCACCCCATGCTGAGATGCCTCTCTAGGGGATCATCCAAAGCAGTGAATTAATGAAGTAAGTAAACATCCCCTGGGCCCATCTACTGGCCAGGCCTTATGCTGAGGCCACCAGGCTGTGCTTCCTGCTCCCAAAAAGTCATCTCGTTGCCTGTTGTCCTCTATTACAGCTTCATCTGGGTCTCTCCAGAATATGGGATCTCCCAGCATTGTATTTATAGTATGATCCTGCTGGGTGGTGCTGCAAATACACCAGGGTTTGTTTATTGGCTGCTGATGAAAGAGGCTACAGGAGTGTGTTCCAGGTCGGGTCCTGGAGAAGGGCCTGGCTGTGGAGGAGGGTGGAAAGTTGCCACTGGAGGGAGGAAGGCAGTGAGGTGAGGCTGGTGGAAGAGCCCAGAGGCGGGTGCTCCCCTTGGCCACCAGCTCACCCGGGCCAGTGGCCTTGACCAGCGTTCGCTGCAGCGCACACACCATAAGCTGTTAGGTTGGGGAGGAAGAACGCTATAATTTTGGAAATAGGGCCCCAAAGAGGTGAGAAACAGGAGAGCTTGGGAAAGCAAGGGCACGTAGGGTGCTTCACCCACCCCTACTTACTGAGCAGGTTCCTAGCAAAGAGTGTGTGCTAATGTCAGGAAGCCCCACGCACCCCTACTTCAAACGGGGGAGCAACAGCGGAATGGCAGCCCAGCACATTCTTCAGTGGGCATTGGGGTTCCATAGCTCTGGGGATGGCCAGGTGGCCGAGCGCCCTGCCAAAACGTCTAGAATTGGTCAAGCTTCCCAGCCGCCTCCTGGAACACAGTGTACAGGATCACAAGGCTCATCCTCTCCCAGTCCCAGGGTGTGTTTAATTACTGTGACCGCTATTTAAAGGGCACACTATCATCTGGCCCACATAATGGGAATAAGCCCCAATTTTTTTTTTTTTTTAAAGAAAAATCAATGATCTCTACTTCTGGGACTTCCTTAATACTCCATCAATCCGTTTCAAGCTACAGTGTCCGGTTCCTTTGTCTCCCAGCCTTTTCCAAAGGGAGAGAGTTGCCTTGGAAAAGTCAGCGGGGAGGTCTCCAGTTGCATGGTGTTTGTGTTTTCGGAGACGTGAGAGGATTCAGGCCCAGACGCTCCTGCCTCCACACAGAGAGATTTACAGAGACTGGAAGACTCTGGAAGCATCTGTGAATGCCTTTTTCTATTTTTAAAATTGTATGTGTGTTTTTAAAAATAGATTGTACATTCACATGGTACAAAATGCATAGTATGAGAAGACCGCTGAGAAAGACTCCCCTGCCCGCTCCCCTTGTCCCGGGACCTCCCCATGGCCCCACGTTATGATCCCTTCTGGAATTTCTGTATCTACACAGGCAAAACCGGTAGAGAATCAGAGTTTCTCTCTCTTTCACACAAAAGTAGCCTATTTCCTGATATATACACATTTTAAAGTGACATTCTCCACAGAAGTTTGTTTCAGAGACCAATACTACGTTTTTATTAGCGTGTTCATTAAAAGCATTATCTTGTCCAGTAAAACACAACTAGTTGCTCTCACCTATGTTCCTCCCACCCAGTGTGGCCCTGTTACCACGGAGCCTGGACACTAACGGTGATGCGCCGCCTGTCTTCATTACCCAAAGGGAAGGATTTGCTGAGCACCTAAGGCTTGAGTGAAGGCACTACCCAGGGGCTGGGAGGCCAGTGGGCAAAGTGTAGCATCTTCTGAGAGGCCTGCTGACCTACCTCTGGGACCTCTGGTGTTTGAGCAGAAGAGGGAAGGTGGGATGAGGCAGAAAGACTCTTGAGGAGAAAGAGCACATGGGCCCCAGTCCATTTGTACTGCAGCTGTGACAGTGGGGCCTGTGAGAATACTCATGATGAAAAGCAGTGGGGGAGGGGGCGGGGGGGCTGGAGTCCCTACATCTGATGATGTTTCATCGGGGAGCTTAAGCAGAGTAGGAAACTGCAGTCTGGGCCAGCTCAGCCTCTGTGCTCAAAAAGCAGGTGCATCCCCGGCTGGGTGGCTCAGTTGGTTGGATCTTTGGTCCTTACACTAAAAGGTTGTGGGTTCGATTTGCAATCAGGGCACATTCTCAGGTTGCAGGGTTCCATTCCTGGTCAGGGTGTGTGTGGGAGGCAACCAATTGATGTTTCTCTCTCAGATCAATGTTCCCCTCTCTCTCTCTCTCTCTCTTCCTTTCTCTAAAATCAATAAACGTATCCTCAGTGAGGATTAAAAACAAAACAAAACAGGTGGAGACTGTGACTCCCCTCAACCCCCTCAGCAGGGCCGTGTGCACAGAGCAGGACCGGGGAGCACTAGGCACACGGCAGGCTGGACAGGGCACGTGCTGCTGGTCTGTGCTCGGGTGGCCGGGCCCCGAGGGAGGTTTCGGCGCCCTCGGCCAGGGTAGGGAGCCTGTGCCCGGGGAGAACAGGCTTCCTCCTCCTGCCCTTGGGCCCAGGAGAGGTCTCCGCCGAGGCCCTGGAGTATCGTGTGAAGTTGGGGCTGAGGTGAATGTGGGGGCTGCGTTGGAGGGCTGTGCAATTGGAGGATCTCGCCCTAGCCGGTACTGTTTCCCGGTCCCCGGTCCCCAGCATGCCTCTGACAATAACTGCTGGTCCTTCGCACATTTGTCAGGACCCTGCCTCCAGCCCTGGCCTGTTTGGCCCAGTGAGAGGCTGTCGGTTCTGCCTCATCGCTGGGTCTCCGTCTCAGCCCCTCACCCCCACCCTGGCCAAGTTTTGAGATGAGCAAATGGTCCTTAGGACCAGAAGCTTCCAGATCCACTTGGATCCTCCAATATCGGGTTCTTTTCAAATCTGCATATTAGTTGGCAGCCCAGAAAACCTTTCCTTCCTGAGGTCACTCTTGCCCCAGGACTGGGTCTAGCATAGACCCCCAC